GGGGGGGGGGGGGCCTTTAATTCGGTCTGAGGAAAAGTACGAGTTAAAATGACTATACATTAACATATTCACCAAAATGTGGACGTTTTTTAACTGAGAAATCACCAGACTATTCCAATTTCACGACTGTTTATTCATCGATCCAATAATAAGTTGTTGAAGTCATTCTTACATGTAACAGTCACTGACCTGTTTGCAATTCCGCAAACTTTATTAATAATTTATATCAATTCCCATTATGTCGCGGCGTATCGCAGTTAGATGTAGTGACACTCTCTTCGAACGTTTTTCCCTCTTGTACGATTCAGAATAACTGTGGACATTTCTTTAATTTGGATAGCCGTTTTGCGAAGGCAGGTAGACGCTTAGGACCTGTTTACATGGAGGTGGGGGTCCCCAGGTTAGTGAGGTGAGCCTCTTAAGTAGGGTAACCTGCCTGTCCATACAATCTCTCAATGGTCACCCCCACCTATCATGTACGCTTGATCAAATGAAAATGAGAGATTATATGGGCAGGCGGGTTACTCACCTACACGTGAACAGGTCATTAAACTGCGTACTTGAGGTTGTGCAATGTATTTGCATAATTATATCTGACCAACCTTTGTTATTTTGGCTTCTTTTGTTTTCCCATTTTATTATATATTTTTTTTAGTTAAAAAGAGAAAACCGTTATTTAGCAATCCTATTGAAGTGAACTATTTAGTAACAGTATATAAATAGTTCACCAGCCTACCCCATAGCATGGCTTTTCAGCTAATTTTACAATTACAATTTGATAATAAAAGCATAATTATCTACTTTACAATATGTGAAATTTACTGGGGAAAAAAAATGAAATGAGGAAATAACGCTTCTTCACTTCAGCCTTAAGCTGCTCGAGATTTTCTATATTACCTAAAGATTCTGCAAACTCATTCCAGAGGCGGACTGAAACAGCGTGAAACAGCGTGAAAACACTTTTTTGTGGCGTTTTTGCTCCATGCCGTCGCAGTCGTGGTTGCTTAATATGTTCCTTATATGGGAAGAGACCGTTACTGATAGGGAGATCGGGTATGCCAAATATGGAGAATATGGACTCTACGCCTCCGACTGAGTTTAATAAACTCTGGAGGGGCTAAACTGTAACGTCACTGAAATTTGCAGTAGACTGCGAGATTAAAAGCACACCATTTTAAGAGAGAGCATCATGCCGCTGGCACGCAAGCTCAGAAAGAAAAAAACTTTATAGGCGTTTGTTATTTTGCGCTTTTCAGCCAGATCGTTACGATAGCAAGCTTCAAGCGTAATTGACACTTGCTAGCTTGTTTTTATAAAGGGAAGATGGAAGAAGAAAATGAAATTGCATGAAATTGCAGGCAATGAAAAAATGAAACAGGAATAGTTCATACTTCCATTTCAGTTCATGGCCATCCTAACTCAGGGGATTTTGAATCTCGACCTTGGTACCAAAGTTCCAAGGCAACCTTATAGCACAAGACCTCTCAGTAAGATTTTTTTTAGAGTCACAAAGGTATAAAGTAAAAGTCTCTTACTACCGACACTACAACGTTTTTATAAGCTATATTTTTTTTACAATCTGACTGAGTTAATTCTCGTGCGCTGATTGGCTAATTTCTATCAACAATAAGAGGACAGACATAAAATTTTAATTTCTGCAAGACGAAACACCGTATATAACGAAGAGTTTCTAAAATTTACCCGCTTAATACGCACACCGTTTAATATGGACAACGGACACTTTTTTGTGTCCCGAGGCACAAACTCGCATACATTGTTAACCCCTGCTATTTACGGACACTGGTTATCTGCGCGCTGTCTATTTTCCTTGTAACAGTCACGTGCTAATTGTAGACATTGTACACTGTTCAAACGACAAGAGATTTCTTTGGGTTTAAGAAGCAGAATAGCGTGATAAGTCAGTCTTTCCCGCGTTTGACCCTTGTACTATATAGCCATTTAATAGTTTTTTTCTGTTACAAAAGTCTCACTTCCTTATTGGCTTTTCGCCGCAGTCATTGTCCCTACCCTTCTTTCTCTTTGTCTGCCATAGTCTTTATATCAATACAACATGTGTCGTGAGAGCCCACTTATTACGGCCATCCGGATGATACCGACACCAAGGCATTTCCCCTAACTGTCCTTATTAACCAAGTTCTACTGTCAGTAGTTTCTTTTTAAAAAGTAAATTGTTTCTTTACTCATCCTTTTTTCCAGACATTTGTTATTTATAGTTATTAAATGTTATTAACCTACTATTTCCCTACTTCATCGTATGTAGCAGAGATAACTCATTCATTTGCAGGCGTAGATCAAGGCAGCTTAAGAATGTCTACAGATATATTTGTCTCCCTTTCCAATGTTAATGCTTAACCTCGGTCTGTATGTCTACCAGTGTGTGGAAGTCAGTAACCAATCCTGATCAATGACTCGTATGTAGACAGAGTTCGCCACAGTGGTGGGCTGGTGCTGGGGAATCCTAGAAGACGTGAAAATCTGTTTATGAACAGTAGATAAAACTTTACGAAATCAGTTAAACTACATTGTGAGGAAATATTAAAATATCAAATAATTTTCTAGCTTTTCAAAAGTTAAATTTATTCTTATAGTAATAATTGTAATTATTTCCTTTTTTCCTATATCAGAATGTCAGAATTACGGAAGTCTTAACAACGGTCACAGAAAGATTACGTACATTTTTTTCCACGGTTGTGACAGTGGACTCGGACCAAGTTGGTATCGTTTCGAGGGATCCGCCGGTACAAGAATGCCAACTTCATGTCCACCGCAAAACAGATGTGGCACAAGTGCAACCGGCTGGATGAATGGTGGACACCCTACAGTAGCAGATGGTCAGGTCAACAGGACGGTGTGTTTTCACTGGGGTAGCTGCTGTAATTGGTCAACAAACATCAAAGTGAGAAATTGTGGTTCATATTATGTGTACTATCTTAATGGTACACCTGGGTGCGATCTCCGTTATTGTGGCACTAACTAAAAACAAGGTGCAAGTAAAGTATTACATATTCTATCAATTCACCTTACTATGCTTCATTGTATTAAAGAGAGAATAGAAAAGAAAAAAAGAAAGGCAAAACTGCACTTAACTTCAATATCTGAATTTCTATAACTAAGCAAAGGGAGAGAAAAAAAAACTATGAGGTAGCGCAACGTACCACTCGTGTTAGCAAGCAAGAACAATTTTCTTGAACTTAAAATGAGGATAACTATTCTTTTAAGCCGTTTTGAAGATCAAGTAAGAAAAAAAAAAACCTGTCAATAGAACTTACCAGGAAGTCAAACTAGGTAAAATAATTCATTCAATTAGCAATGCATTTTTCTGTGTCACTCGTCACGGTGACCAGAAATATACACTGAGTCCAAGAACGCCTTGCAGTTACTAAATAAACTACGATGGACAGATGTTTTAACTTAGAAGATGTGAAGGGAAAGGCGGGATGTGAACATGCTTACTTGTTTTAATATTGATCGGTGAAAGGACGCACTCTGTAAAACCGGAAACGAAATGCATAACGACCGTAGGTATAGTCAACTCTCGTCTTGCGCACACGCCGGCAATACGAACAGCAGCTAAATTCCCTTTCATCTGTAGATTCTTGCTTGCTAACAAGGACACTAACTTGCTGTCCCGATGGGAGTTGCACCCCTAGTGTTGATGCAATTCTTGCATTAGGATTAGAGTTTCTTTGAGAAATAAACGTACAGTTTAAAGTGAAATATCCGTCACATGCGTGTGTTTTTATTGAGTATGGCAATAGGCTAATTGCGCGTTGGCGTCATTTCACTCAGCACCAGAATCCCCTAAGCCCCGGATTACATAAAGCGTTCTACCGATTGAGCTAAATCCAGGCCAGACGGTGGGGTTTTACTGCGTGAATCAAGTGTGCAAGTCGTCTCAAAGTGAGAAACCCCGGCGAATCGACTGTAGAAAGAAAATTGAGTTTAATTAGGAATCAAAGGACGGCGAGATTTAAACGGGCTGTCGTGCTAAGAAGAGGGTCGTCAACAGGTTTTTCAGGATAGGGGATTTCCCATATTTGAAGCTCGGGACTCGGGATATTAAATCGGGGAGGATTTGAGATCGACGGTATGCTTTGGAGGTGGGATGCCCAAAAACCCCCTCGAGATTATGGGATTGCAGGAAAATTTTGGGTCGGGATTACGGGATTGAAGAACCCTATGGCGGACCCTGTAAGGATGACAGCCTGCTTTCTCCGAGTCTCCATTATAAATCCCCCGTCGTTAGCCATATAAAAACACCGAGCTTTTTAACTCAGTTGAGTATACGGCTGGATTTTGGTCGACTCGCTGTGGTATACTAAACACTCCTCAGGCCTTTCCCAGCCTTACCTTATTCAGGGGCACCCGACGCACTTGAAAAATGTCTTTTTAGGCTATGAAGAGTAAATTTAGATCTCTAGAAATACATTCTAAAGCGGCGCTATTAAAAGCTGTATCTGTTCGGTCATCCTAGAGCAACTTGAGTCTTTTCGAAATTAAAAGGGCGCCAATATTATTTTCTCGAAAATTTTAGAAGGAATTTAAAATTTTACGAAAGTAAGAATTTTTCTGATTCCTTTCTATGTTACATTTTCCAATCCGAAAATATAGTTTTCCTTTTTCTAAGAAAAATAGCTTAACCTGTTGAGTGAAATGCAAAAAATTAAACTTTAGAAAACCGTAGGAAATTTATAAGATAGCCTTCGAAAAATGTACCTTGAATCAGTGAATGGAACGGTCATCGAGAAATATTTAGCCTTCATCAAGCTAGAAAAAATTCTAGGCAACTTTTGGTTCCTCGAACAGATGTTTGACTGTAAACTGTCGTTAGGTGCCCCTGCTTATTAACGTCTCCTCGAAAGCCACCTTCATTGCTAATAACGCTGCTCAAAATAATAAAGATACAAAGTAATCAATGAATACCAGTTTCTTGACATCTGTGGTAAGAGCATCGCCTTCTCGGTCGCCCCATTTAAGGGAATACAACACAGTCCTGGATTCTGGGTTCTACGCCTTGGATTCCAAATTCCAAAGCCCAGGATCCCGAATTCCTCCATCAAAAATTCCAAGATTTCGGATTCCGGATTTGGATTCCCTTGCATGGCACGAGCCTTGGGCTTCAGGCAAATCCATGTAGTCTTTTTCTTCTTGAAGATGAGGTCGAATTGCTCAAGGTATAGCCAAATAATCAGTACTTCTTCAAGATGGGTAAAGAAGGTCGAACTGTATTATACCTCTATGTTGACCTGTACCTCTCAGGATGGCATTGACCATTTCTAGAGACAGAGGATTCAACCATTCAACACTCCAGCTAGAGTTAACAGCAAAATGCCTATGTATTGCGAGGGATGATGTTGGATTTATTTAAAAGTGGTCTCAGAAAAGCAGAGCCGTAGCTAGCGGGGGGGGGGGGGGGGGGTAGGGGGGGGCGGCCCCCCCCCCAGCTGTGTGGGGGAAAGAACGAGAGAGCGCGGGCAGCGAAAAATAGGAGGGAAAAGACAACACCCCCCCCTGCAAGACGGGCGGATGTGTGTGGCATGCGGATGGCCGCGGTCGGATATGTTCTTTAAATTAGAAATAGGTTGTGCATGATGCTCTTTTGTTTGGGGCGCGTGCTGATGAGGGTGTAATTGATATGTGAAAGAAAAAAAAGATACAACCTTTAAACACACAAGAAGAGGTAAAAAGAAAAAGGTTTTTTGGTGGGGGGGGGTGTTTTTGATTTTTGTTAATGGGGGTGAAGAAAAGGGGGGGGGGGGGGGGGGGGGGGGGGGGGGGGTGTACAGGGGGGCAGCTGCCCCCTGGACCTGTTGAGGCAGACAAGTTAAGTCCACGGTATGTGCAAATAGTAAGGAAAAGGAAGCAAACCCCCCTTTTGAAATTGGCGTGTATATTGGCATCGTCTGAAGCCGGCTATGGTCATGTTCTTCAATGACAGAAGAACGCTTTAGTGGCCTCGCAGTGATGATTATCCATCGTGGAACCAACTACATGCCAACGCCAAAGGATGTTTATGAACGGAAATCAAACTGAAGACATCTTTTATAGGATAGCCAAACATCATGTAGTATTGTGAAATGTTTAGTACTCTTACTAGTGCTTGCATATACGGTGTCATTTTTTTCAAATAAACAGGATCTCGGAAATAAGCCCTTATAAGCACTGAAAACACCTAGCTGCCTTTTCAGATAACACTTCTTTTTGGTCGATTTTTTCGCAGACATATCTCATGACAAGTGCTGAAAATAGCGTTTCGGAGCCTCCAAATTTAACTTGACCCCAGACCCCCTACAAGACTTGTGCCTTCAGCACCCGCGATAATGCCCCCCTCCTCCCCCCTCCCCATTAAAAAAGCTTAGCTACTGCCCTGGAAAAGGCCTATGTCAAGCAAAGTCAATATGTGATCGGAGCAACCTCTTCCTGCGTGGAAACCTGCCTGTTCTTCTCTTAGCCTGCTCTAAATCACTTTTTTAATTATTGATTCGCCCTCGTAAGACCCCGCAGACACTTAACGATTATCTTACATTGGATTAAAAATGTGATCTCTCTCACAGTTGTGTGGAAATTCTAGTTTTATTTCTCTAAAACAACAAGAACAATACGAAATGTAAATCCTCAGGATGCAATGCTGAATTCATTGCATTTGCTATTATTCTGGGAAGTACATGAAAAAGGAACAACAGTCGATGGGACTAGTAATTCGCGAGCAGCAGAACTATTATTTTGACACGTAGGTCGAAGAAAAGACCGTTGATAAAGGCTATCAATGTACAGCTGAATGTAAAATTAAATAGTTGGAAAAGTTTTTTGTTAAAGGAAAGAAAAAGGTAAAGAAAAAGCGTATATGCTTGATAACCTTTTGTGAAAAAAAATATCAGTAATCGGTACGGTGGAATGGGAATGGGAGTAATTCTGTGAGGCGTACGTATCCGGGTAAAAGAAAAAGCATGGGGTTGTGATATTCAAGAGTAAATCGATGCATGCATCTGGTATGAACGGCGGAAAAAGAACACGGGTTAGATACAGGAGTGTAGAAATGATTTCCAAGGGAAGCCCGACGCTCAACAATACTTCCGGGTGAAAGTCTTGTTTCCTTGTAATGAGGGAAAATAAGAGAGAGGGAGGGGAGGAGGGGGGGATAGCCCAATCAAAAGGAGCCCTAATTAAGTGTGTTCATGCGAGTTTAAACGTTTTACATTTTTAGGCCACTATAATGTGATTTGAACTATGAAATCATTAAAACATGATTATATCTCTTTTAGGTAAATCAGTGCTTTACTTCTCCCTTTACTGTCAACGCAACAGAAATAATGCCTTTAAGCGAACACAATGGAAATATTATTTTCAAGAAAGGAAGTACTACTTTAGTTAAAGCAACCATTTCGGGAGAGCAACGCGTCCCACCCGTCCTCTGCGCAATTTTGCTGCAACTATGCTTCTAAAACAAAGAAGTCATGGTACACCTACCTTTTAGAAGATGTTGTGTTTATTTATTGCTCTCAGTACTAACACATTTCACAAAGTGCTGATAATTTTTGTCATTTTTCTACGCTGAATTGCAAGTTTCGTTGTAAGGAAGAAAGAAGGGTATCGGGTGGAGTGCACGTGGAAGAAGCTACTTTAAAAGGACATTACGCTCGCTGGTTTAACAGTATACATATTGAATACACTGATAATTAAGGTTCAGAGCTAACGCTGCCGAAATACATCAGTAGAGTCCAGTTCAGTCATCTAGGGTGAAAGCATTGCCTTAGTCTTTACATTGTTGATATGCAAACGCAGGGTAATCGGCTTGTGACAAAACCATTTACTGTCTTTTCCTTCTGAAAGATATGGATAATTAGCAAAATACATAAGAGAGTACATACAAATCATCGATGATTACAGAAACACTGTCTTGTAGATGGGAAAACAGGGTCCATTGTATACCTCTAAGTTGAACTGTGTTTCTCGGATTATGATAACATCAGCACTAGG